AGGAGAAAGCAGACAGTGAGGAGGTCTTCAGAGCTCTGCTGCGCTGCATTGAGAGAAGCCAGGCGGAGCTGCTTGAGGTGATGGAGGAGAAGCAGAAAGCAGCAGAGAGGCAGGCTGAAGAGTTCATTAAAGAGCTGGAGCAGGAAATCACTGAGCTAAAGAGGAGAGACACTGAGCTGGAGCAGCTCTCCCACACTGAGGACCACCTCCACCTCCTACAGGTCAGAGTCCCTCTGTTTCTTAATAGTGTAATACCTGATGTTTGGCTTGGAGTGTAGGTAGCGTTTGGGTGGATGAACTAAACTCAAGCACACAGTTCTTTCTTAATACTTTTATATTGTTCGGACACAGTAGCAACAACAGCCCTCACTGCTGTCTTCCTTTTTTTCTTCTTCTTTTGTTTTTATCTTTTCAAGTCTCAGCTAATCAGTACAGAGAGTCTCTAACACATATGAATATGAGGTTTTGTACTGAATTAAGTTTCAACCTGTAAAACAACAATTCACTGAACCCTGAACCATAAAGCATATAGAACAATCCTAGTGATAACATCACCATAAACAATAAACAAATCTTTCAATTTAAACAGTTGTAACACTTTTACACTTCTTTCAACATAACATGTAGTTGTCCTGACTACTACAGGTCTCTTGTTCCATTGTAAAGTCCTCGAGTCACAATTCAGTCATCATCCCTGAAATGCAAGGGAGGACGCACACAACATCCTGATCTTGTCCTTAATTCAGAAGACCCTATCGCAGATGTTGGTCTCACATTTCCAGCTTGCCCTGCAGGTGCCGCAGTGCGTAGGGCCTGCAACATTGGAGGGGTTGTGGCAGACTGCATCGCAGTAGGACTCTGAAAGATGTAAGGCCTGGAGCCAGAGAGGGCAGTGAGAGGTGGACTGCAGTTAGTTGTAGTGTTAGGTGTCTGTTCCGAAACTGGAGGGTGGACTGAATGTTTCAACCATAAGGTAGGGCTTAAGGCGGTTGCAGTGTATGACCTTAGGCTTAGGCTGTAGATCCAGTTGATTTTGGAGCTCATAATCTACTCCGATGTCACCACTGGGTGAGTCAAGCCTCCGTAGAACTTTGTATGGACCAGTCCATTTGGGAGACAACTTTTGTCTAGCCAGAGCAGGAAGGTCAACCCAGACTAGCAGTGTTGTCACATAGAGTTCATTTTAAAAGAACCAAACTGTTAAACTGAACTGTTTAACTGTTAAAAAGAACTGTTCTGTTAAAGTGGACCTGAAAGGGAACCAACTGCAAATGACCTCAGTTCTTTTTGTGTTCACAGTGTAAGTGAATATTAAAGAGCACTCTGGTCCTTTGAGATCTCTGACCACTTCTTGTTCAGACCACAACTCCATTAGAACTCAAACCCCTTTAATCCCACTCATGGTGGGTGGAGCGTTCGCAAAGTGGGGGAACCACCAGACCCGCCTGCTGCTTTCCTGTTGGCCGCACTTAAACAACTGGCCAAAATACATTGCCCAAAATTGGAAAAATGACCCTGCATTTCTGCCGAGGTGGGTTCCGTTTTCGGCTATGCTCGTCACTGAGCTTGACTCGGAGAAAATCTGCATCAGCAGTGAATTTTCATTCACTAGGTGTTCAGTGTTAAAGCAGCTGAAAATTGCGTTGCGTGCCCAGCTTGAGCCTTTAAGACGGTAAAATCACGCAGGCTCTCACATCTTTTAGCTTTAATACGTCAGCACTGCTGTCTTGTCACAGATCACCGACAGGCTCCTTGGTGATCTGTTTTTACCTGCTGAAGTGCGGAAGTCTGTGGCTGTGTGTACGGTGAGCCTCGAGGTCTTCACCATAAAGCAAAAGCAGACTGGGGCTGTTTTGTTTTCACAATGCGCAAATCAGTCGAACCACAAAATGAACTACAAATGAACTGAACTGAGACCACCTCTTGGTTTGTTTTGGGGGCCGTTTAGAGATTAGTTAGTTTGGCACGTTCACATATGCAAAAAAATGAAAAAGCCCTTGGTCACCTGGCTCATAAGCAGTGTGTCTCCTCTGGCAATCATAGTAGTGCTTTTGTTGAGCACCAGCTACAGCAATGTTATGAGTCACTGAATGAAAACAGAACACAGCTCTCTCAGCATAGAATTGTCATACTCACTTGGAGTACCACATGTGGCACTGGAATACACTGAGGGATCTCCAAGAAGAACGTCAGTGGGCAGACGTGCTTCTCTGCCATAGGCTAAGAAGAAGGAGGCGTGTTTGGTTGAGGAATGGACACTCATGTTGTAATCCCACTCACCACCTTTGAATAGAATAGAATTCAGAACCATCAGCCAACTGTGTTTGCACACTGTGGAATTAGACCTCCGCATTTGACCCATCCGTGCAGTGAAACACCCACATACATGCACACTAGTGAACACACACACTAGGGGGCAGTGAGCACACTTGCCTGCAGCGGTGGGCAGCCCTATCCATGGCGTCTAGGGAGCAACTGGGGTTAGGTGTCTTGCTCAAGGGCGCTTCAGTCCTGGACCATCAGTCGAGGGGATCGAACCAGCAACCTTCCGGTCACCGGGCTGGTTCCCTAACGTCCTACCCACGACTGACTGACTCAAACTGATGACCTTGGTCAGTATGCAGACTTTGGGGCACACCATGACACCTGATGTAGTCTTCGAACAAACATTTTGCCACTGTTGTTCCCCACTGATCTGGAGAGGAATACAGGTTTAGGTACTTTGTGAAATAATCCAGTGCTACAAGTAACAATTACCTTTTTGAGTGAGAGGCTGTTCAGTCAGGTCAGCTGCTATCTTTTCAAAGGGCACTGTAGTGACAGTGTTTTTCATTGGTGCTTGCTGGTGTGGAGTTTGAGGTCATCATACTTCACAAGCAGTGCACTGGAACACCACTCTGTAATGTCCTTTGACATATGTGGCCAGAAGCATCGAACTAGTGCACGCTGAAGTCTTCTGCACTGACATAGCCAGCAATTGAATGCAAAGTCTCGAAAACTTTGTGTTATAAACTTCCAGGCACTACAGGCTGAAAGATCTTGGCACCTGGGGGAGGCCTGGCCTTGTGACACAGAACTGAGTTAACAAAAGTAAGTCTAGGAAAGTCTTTCCAGAAATAACATAAGATAAGTGGGTAGGCTTTAAGTGTGGCATATGGAGGTCTACTGTCAGCCAAAACCCAATCAATAACTGTTTTCAGCACAGGATCATCTCTCAGTTTGAACAATTTCTGTACTGTGCATATCAAGAGACAGATGTTTATCCTTGCTAAAAGTGTCAGGGGAGACTGGTTGCACAAACAGAGTAGCAGGTGAATCAGTGGTCAATTTACAGCTAGTTTGTCCAGCTCCCTCTGAGTTTGAACTGATTGGAAACCTGCATGCTGAGTACAGTTGCAGCAGTAGAGTCCTAACATGTGAAAGGTCGGCGTGACATTGAGTCAGCATTGGTGTGTTTCAATCCTTGTCTTTATTCTTTATTTAAGAGTACAGGCACATGGGTCATTTTCTAGAGCCATTCTTGCTCTGCGACCTGTAGGGTCACAGTCTAGTGCCATTTTCCTCACACCAAGTAGGGGATTGTGGTCCAGGATGATACAAAAAGGATGTCCTGTAACATACTGGTGGAAACCATACGTTAGCCCACAATTCTCAGTCGTAAGTGGACCAGCGTCTCTCACCAAGTGTCAGGATGGGACTGGCATGAGCTACAACAATTTCCCTGTTGTCATCATTTAGTTGGGACAGAACACATCCAATCGCTGTATTGAAGGCTTCAGTAAAGAGAAATTCCTTAGGAAAATCCTGATAGGCAAGAATCACTGCATGGGTGAGTGAATGGTGGAGAGAATCAAATGCTTTTTGTTCAGTGTCTGTCCATGGAAATGGTTTTCTCTTCTGTGTGAGAGCATGCAGTGGTTGTGACATTTTTGCAAACTTGTATATGAAACGCCTGTAGTAAGAGCAAAGGCCTAAAAATGCTCTGACTTCAGTGGGGTTTTCAGGGGTCGGCCAGTCCTTGACTTTCTGTATGTTTGGTTAGTGTAGTGTAGTGGGTAACACCTCTGCCTTCTCTGCTGTACACCGGGATTCATTCCTCACCTGAGTAAGTACCCTACACTATACCAATAAGAGTCCTTGGGCAAGACTCCTAACACAACCTTCACATACCTGTGTAAAATGATCAAATTGTAAATCGCTCTGGATAAGAATGTCTGCCAAATGCCAAAAATGTAAATTTACTGCTCTTAGATAGTCAAAAACTTCACCGTGCACCGTGTGCTCAGCAAAGTTCTTGCTGTAGATAATGATATCACCTACATAAAGCATGTTTTCCAAGATAGTTCTTGTATCACCAGTTACATTAGATGCTGAAAAGTTTTTTTTTTTTGGGGGGGGGTCATGTCTGTGGCATTTACCAATCCCACAGGCATGACTTGAAAGTCATATAACAAGCGGCCTGTGGTGAATGCCGTCCTTGCTTTGTCTTGCTCAGCAAGTTGCACTTGTCACCACCCTGAAAATAGATCCATTGTGCTGAATACAGCAGAACTGCGGAGTGCATCCAAGGTATCATCTGTTCTGGGAAAAAAGATGTGCATCCTTAACTGTAACAGAGTTTAGCCTCTGTAATCAACACAAAAGCGCCATGTTCCATCTTTTTGTGCACCATAACAACAGGTGCAGCACATGGGCTGTGGCTATCTTCAACAATACCTTTTTCCAGCATTTCGCCCACGTCATTGAATAATCTCTTGCATTTGTGGGGAAGTGCGATAAATATGCTGTTAACTGGGGCTGCACAAGTTAATTTTGTGTTTGACTAGATCTGTTCTGCCAAAATATGTGGGGCCCGAACTGAATATGTCATTGTAAGACATGAGCAAAGTATGCAGTTCAGATAGTTGAGGTATTTCTCTATTCAGAGTAGTGGGATTTTCAGATCCAGCAAGATTAGTAGCAGTAGTCTTATCAGGACTGGAAGCCTTTGCTGTACATACACTACTGGGCAAACTGGGTGAACTGTCACTTGGGGCTGGTACAAGAATAGCTGATGAGCGCCCCGCTGCATCAACTAATAGTAGTTTCCCTGATGATTAGGACAACGAACCTCTTTGTGAATGCGGAAATGACCCTGGTCTCGTCAGTCTGTCTGCTGATGTCCCCGGCTGTGATCTGGGCGATCCTGAGAAGAGACCAGTTTAATGTGCTCCTGTGGCGAAATTCTGGTTCACTGTAACAGTCAGGAGTAGGGTGGTATTTTCGCCTATTGTCATTATGGAAATCAAAGTGCTGGTTGGGGAATTCCAAAAGTGATAATAATCCCTTGACTTCTCCATATATCGCTGCTGTCAGAACAAAACCTTGTATGTCCAAAATGGTAACTTTACAGGAGAAAGAAAAAAGATACTTTACCTTTAATGTAAGTCAATGGAACCAGAATTTTTTTCCAAGTCATTTTGGGCCGTTTCTTTTGTTCTTTCATCATGAAATTTTAACATAATGTAAAGGGCAGCAGGTCTTTCAAATTATGTCAAAATGGGCATGAGATGGGCTCTGTGAAGTAGTGTAGCTCCCCGGGCTCCTCCGCTGTGGAGAGGGAGAACTATGAGACCTCACAGCTGTGAGATTTCGTACTGAATTAAGTTTCAACTTATAAAGCAACAAATGAGTATCAGTTTCATTCTTACAATAGTAATGCAGTCCATCACAGGACAGCACTCCCAATGCTGAGGGGTTTCTCCTCTCTCCTGCTGGACTGTAGGTTTACCCGTCCCTCTGCAGCTGTCCACACACCAAGAACTGGACTGACGTCAGGATTAACACTCATCTGAGGGTGGAGACTCTGAGGAGAGCTCTGACTCAGCTTCAGGAAGAGCTCAGTAAGGAGATGGAGAAGTTTGTGGAGATTGGTGAGTATCTACTGATCGGTGAGAGCTTGTAAGGAAAATGGTATTTCAAAATCCTGACAATACAATCTATGCTTGGTAAATGGTGCATATAAAACTGTAAATTATTAAAAACTGTATTTGTCATTATCCTGTCCTTTAATATTAGTGTTAATTTTGGATTTTGATATTTTGGTTTATTTTAAGTATTTAATGTTCATTTAGTTATTTTAAATGTAATTTATTTTATTGCAATTGTTTGCATTAAAACAAACAAAATGTACAATGATTATAATGATCTTTGTAATGATATTGTCTGTTGTTCTTCTCCAAACAGAACTAAAAGCAGTTCAGCAATATGCAGGTCTGTGGACATGAATTGCACACATAAATATATGTGTCTTTGTTATTATATGTGATAGACTGTTAAAATTAGTTATTTTTCTCACTCTTAGTTGATGTGACTCTGGATCCTGATACAGCAAATCCCCACCTCATTCTGTCTGATGATGGGAAACAAGTGACAGATGGAGACACAGAGCAGAATCTTCCTGACAACCCAGAGAGGTTTGATTATTGTGTCAATGTGCTGGGAAAGGAGGGGTTCTCCTCAGGGAGGTTTTACTGTGAGGTTCAGGTCAGCGGGAAGACTGAGTGGGCATTAGGAGTGTCCACAGAGTCCAGTAACAGGAAGGGAGAGATTACACTGAGTCCTGAGGATGGATACTGGACTGTGTGGCTGAGAAATGAGACTAAATATGAGGCTCTGGAATCTCCTTCTGTCCCCCTCTCCTTGAAACAGGCTCCCCAGAAGGTGGGGGTGTTTGTGGATTATGAGGAGGGTCTGGTCTCCTTCTATGATGTTGAGGCCAGGTCTCATATCTACTCTTTCACTGGTCAGTCTTTCACTGAGAAACTCTATCCATATTTCAGTCCCTGTGGCAATTATGGAGGTGAAAACTCAGCACCGCTGATCATCACACCTGTTGATCATGATAAATGAGGCTCTTCTCTACAGTAAAACACTTCACTGAGTCAGAGGAAACTTTGTACTCTGACATTTCAGAGCATGAATAAAAGCATATTTTATTAAACAAATCTTAACATAGTGTATTGTATTAATGAATGAATGAACAAATAAGAATATAATAAATAAATGAATCAGTAGCTTTAACTGATTACTTTGTGTTAAAGGAGCCTCAAATTATTATTTTATTATATAATTTAAAAAGATGATTTAACCGAGCCGCCAGTCTCGTATGTGTCGTCTCAAAGCCTTCCTGATTACACTGTAAACTCTGTGGCTCTGCATCCCTTTAATGTGCACACAGTAATTTTGTCTTTGTGCCATTTTCAATCTAATAAATATCAAACAGAATTTAATAATCACTGCTTTCTGTTTTTATTAGTATTTCACATACTGTCTGGAACTGTGTTTGTACCTGATTTAAAACTGAACATCACCCTTCAAACTGCAAATACACTATATTGCCAAAAGTATTCGCTCATTTGCCTTCATGCACATATGAACTTGAGTGACATCCCATTCTAAATCCATAGGGTTTAATATGATGTCGGCCCACCCTTTGCAGCTATAACAGCTTCAACTCTTCTGCGAAGGCTTTCCACAAGGTTTAGGAGTGTTTATGGGAATTTTTGACCATTCTTCCAGAAGCGCATTTGTGAGGTCAGACACTGATGTTGGACGAGAAGGCCTGGCCAGTCTTTGCTCCAATTCATCCAGAAGGTGTTCTATCAGGTTGAGGTCAGGACTCTGTGCAGGCCAGTCAAGTTCTTCCACACCAAACTCACTCATCCAGGTCTTTATGGACCTTGCTTTGTGCACTGGTGCGCAGTCATGTTGGAACAGGAAGGGGCCGTCCCCAAACTGTTCCCACAAAGTTTGGAGCATGAAATTGTCCAAAATCTCTTGGTCTGCTGAAGCATTAAGAGTTCCTTTCACTGGAACTAAGGGGCCGAGCCCACCTCCTGAAAAACAACCCCACACCATAATCCCCCCTCCACCAAACTTTACACTCAGCACAGTGCAGTCAGACAAGTACCGTTCTCCTGGCAACCGCCAAACCCATACTCGTCCATTGGATTGGCAGACGGAAAAGCCTGATTGGTCACTCCAGAGAACACGTCTCCACTGTTCTAGAGTCCAGTGGCGGCGGTTGGTGATGTAAGGCTTGGATGCAGCTGCTCGGCCATGGAAAGCCATTCCATGAAGCTCTCTACGCTGTTCTTGAGCTAATCTGAAGGCCACATGAAGTTTGGAGGTCTGTAGCGATTGGCTCTGCAGAAAGTTGGCGACCTCTGCGCACTATGCACCTCAGCATCCGCTGACCCCGCTCTGTCATTTTACGTGGCTGACCACTTCGGGGCTGAGTTGCTGTCGTTCCCAGTCGCTTCCACTTTGTTATAATACCACTGACAGTTGACTGTGGAATATTTAGTAGTGAGGAAATTTCACGACTGGACTTGTTGCACAGGTGGCATCCAATCACGGCACCACACTGGAATTCACTGAGCTCCTGAGAGGGACCCATTCTTTCACTAATGTATGTACAAGCAGTCTGCAGGCCTAGGTGCTGGGTTTTATACACCTGTTTTATACACAGTGAGTGAATCCTTTTGGCAATATAGTGTATATATCCATGCAAAGAATAATCCGGGACTAGAAAAAATGGCTTTTAAAATATAAACAAGCATTTGGGACCAAAACCTGTTTTAAGAAACAGCTTAAACAGCAAAGATGACTGAACTCTGACTGTATTAATGAGGACATCAGTTATAAATGTTACATACTGGAAAGTCTGATTGAAAACTGAACATCAGCCTTTAAACTGTAAATTAATTAAACAGATTTTTATTAAAGGCACCACAGAAGATTTTCACCACATTTTGCAGACACATTTGGTTATTTATTATTCCAAAGATTCTGAAAATGTACTTTTAGTAGCCTTTAGTTATCAAATTCTCAAACTCAGGTAATCAGACAGTGAGCATAAGAAGAGCTTAATGTATTATAAAACATGTTAAAGGTTCTACTATGTGTTCTACAAGTTCTTAATGTTAATGATTGTGTTTTAGTATTTTAGGACCAGATTGTTTCTAATGTCTGAATGTGTTCAGATAAATGTGCACATTAGGCTGCTGTTATTCAGGTGGTAATCATCTCCCACCTGGTGGCCAAACCCTGCAAGTGCATTAAGCTCTCATGCTGAAATGGTGGGAAATGGTCTCATTACGTCACCCATAGGAAATAAAAGTAAAACTAACCTCAGAAGTTTCTCTCTGCAGGACACGTCTTGAATCTCCTCCAGTCTTTCTTGCGAGAAGCTCAGAAACCTGTGTACATAAACTTTGAGAGAGCTGGAAACCAGACCAAGAGAAGGAAAGTGAATCTGGTAATGTCTGATGTTACAAGTTCTCTTATAAATTCTTGTGAATTTCTTATAAAGTGCTGAAAGCGCTTCCTTTTGTTCAACACGTCTCGACCATGAACGACTGTTAGCTTCTTTCTGCTGGTTTAACTAAACTATGAAATGTACTTGAGTCTGTTTATATTAGGCTATTCAAACTGTTATGTTCTGTGTTTTTGGGACTAGAGCAGATAGAGCGTCTCACCACACAGTGTGGGTTTCAGAGCACGGGCAACGGAAAAGTGAAACTGATCTGTCAGCTGAATGTAATTGGACATGCAATTTAAGAGAAGAAGCTTTTTTCCCTAAATATTTAGTGATTAAAACCACAAAAAATAAAGTAATAGTTTTTATTCGCTGACTGGTTTATCATGAAATAATGTGTGAAGTTTTCTGTAGGTGACAATCACCCTCATGACCTCACTGTGTCTCCTCCATCAGTCATGGCTTCCTCCAGCTGTCTCCTGTCTGAAGATCAGCTCCAGTGCTCTATCTGTCTGGATGTGTTCACTGATCCAGTCTCTACTCCATGTGGACACAACTTCTGCATGATCTGTCTCAGACAGTACTGGGACAGCGGTTCACACTGCCAGTGTCCAGTTTGTAAGACTAAATTCCATAACAGACCTGATCTGTGTGTGAACACGTTCATATCTGGACTGGCTGCTCAGTTCAAAAAGTCAGTTCAGGTCAAATCCAGCAGAGCTCCAGAGAAACATCCCTTGAAACGTAAAAAGGTTCTGTGTGACTCCTGCAGTGAGGAGAAGCTGGAGGCTGTAAAGTCCTGTCTCGACTGTGGAGTATCTTACTGTGAGACTCATCTGATGCCTCATAAAACTGCAGCTAAACTCAAGAAGCACAAACTGATGGACCCTGTGGAGACCCTGGAGGACTACATCTGCCAGAAACATGAGAGACCCCTGGAGCTGTTCTGTAGAGACGACCAGACGAGTGTGTGTCAGTTCTGCACTGAGACAGACCACAAGACTCACAGCACTGTTCCTATAGAGGAGGAGCTTAGACACAGAAGGGTGAGGAATATTTAGACTAACTTACTAACTCCATCTCATTTTTCTGTAATAAACAAATCTTCGAATTAATGATTGTGTTTCTTATAATGTGTCTAATTTCCACAGACTCGGCCGGTGAAGACTACGGCAGAAGTTCAGCAGATGATCCTCCTGGGCTTTACTGAATTTATTTTTCCTTTTTTCTTCATTTTCGCTGTCCATCTTTATAATGCAGACTAATGACTGTGCTACTAATGGTGCTGTTCTGTTTCGTCATGCTGTTTATTATGGTAGAACAGGTTTCAGGTCCTGGTGGGTCACAGCACTGCACAGTCAACACACCTGATTCAGCTCGTCAGCTAATGAGCTCGACCTGTGTGAGTCGAGTTCAGAGAGTTAGAGGAGGAAAATTCCTGACTGAGGACAGCACCCCTGATTTAAGCTGTGTTTAGTACTGTGTGGTACTGTGTGTCTCAGGCGTCTGAGAAAATGAATGTAAAGCTTTTTATCTTTTCAGTTTGAAATTACTTGTTCAGAAAACATGAACATTTAAATAAATACAAATAAGCAGTACATTGTGATGTTTCTGTGTGTGTCGGTTAGTTTAACCATTTCCAAATCTCTCCTTAAGGAAGTCCAGTATTCACAGTTACCATCCAATATTAATCAATCCTTTATTAAATTAAATCAGGTGAGAAAATTACAGAAATCACTGTGATGGTTGGAGCGCAGTGAGAAGTCTTCTGACTAAATTCTTCTAACTTACATATTAATAAATTTACTGAAAACAAAACATTGTTAAAATTATGCTTTTTGTTTATTCGTAATGAATGAGGTGTGTAAGCAGACTATATGTGCAGAGCGGCTTTATTAGAGGAAATTCAACAATCAGTCATCACAGGCTGGGGTCAAAACACAGGCAGGCCACAACAGAGGCAGAGCCACAGTCAAACACCAGTACAACAACACGAGGGTCAAAACAGGAAAATATCAAACCTTGAAAACTTCAGCTCCAAACTACAGAGATGCAGGCTGACCAAAGGGGTCTGTATATAGGCCCAGTGACCTAGAATGGGCCACAGGTGTGTGTGTGTGTAGTTAGGGAGGAGCAAGAGCTGGAATAGGCCATTAGAAATAGGTCCAGTCCAAAAGGTTCACCCTGGGTGGGAGACCATATGACAGAACCCGCACTTAAGGTGCAGCTCCCAAAGCGCATCATGAAACATTGTTGGGGAACCTCTTCCTCACCCAGCAGCAGGTCAAAGCAGACTGGAAGAGGCTCTAGACCTTCTCCAGTGAGTGAGGCCTGTCGCCATGTGATGCTCACACATGAGCTGCCCAGTCTTGCAGCAACAGAACCATGAAACCCACTTTAGCCTCCTCAGACTTTAACAGCTCATTAATGTGGGCCGAACAGCACAGACACTCACCCATAAGCTCCCTCCACAGCTCAGGCTCCCCGTAGTAGAAGTGTGGGCAGTGTGGAGACAGGCTTGATGGTGCTCGGAGGGTTGAAGCCACTCTCTGCAGCCTTGAGTGGAGAAGTCTTCTGTAACGAATGTGGTGTGTAAGCAGACTGTGTGTGCAGAGTGTCTTCATTAGGTCATCACAGGCAGACAACATCAGAGACAGATCCACAGTTAAAACAGGGAAAACTACAGCTCAGAGCCACACGGAGACTAGCAGGCTAAACAAAGAGGGAGAGAGTCTTCTTTAACTGCATAAACACAGCCCCGCCTAGTGCTAATTAACATATATTTACATGTTGATCAGTTTGAAAATGAAATCGAAAAGTGGAAAATGAAAAGTAAAAGTCCAGCAGGTGGCGCTGATGTTCGTTTGCATTTGCCTTTTCATTTTGACACCTAAAGCGCGTCCACAGCGAAAACTGAATCACAAACTGTCACTTCGCTGTTGATTTATCAGTTTTGCATTTTCATTCTCATTTTGTCAGATCTGCAGCCGATTGCTGTGAAAGAGAAATGAGAATTTGAACACTGCATTTTGATTTTAGTTTTGACTCGTATTCTGCATTTCATGAAGAAAAGCCAAAGCCAAAGTGAAGCTTGCATTTTCTTTTCTCTATTAGCTTTTTCATTTTAGATTTGGCCATGAATAACCAGAATAACGACTAAAATTAAATGACAAATAGCTGTTTTGCATTTATTTTTATTTTTGTCAGAAATGGCTCGTGCTCATGTGAAAAACGAAATTACAAATGTAGGTATTTCATTTCATTTTCAATTTTGGCAGGATATTTGCGCAGATGTTTGGAAAAAGAAATGGCAAAAAGAGGTTTGCATTTTCATTTTATGGTTTTAATTTTAATTTCTTTTTTGGCTGGATTTGCCTCTCATAACCTGGTGGCCAAACCCTGCAAATGCCTTAAGCTCTCATGCTGAAATGGTGGGAAATGGTCTCATTACGTCACCCATAGGAAATGAAAGTGAAACAAACCTCAGAAGTTTCTCTCTGCAGGACACGTCTTGGATCTCCTCCAGTCTTTCTTGCGAGAAGCTCAGAAACTTGCGTACATAAACTTTCAGAGAGCTGGAAACCAGACCAAGAGAAGGAAAGTGAATCTGGTAATGTCTGATGTTACAAGTTCTCTTATAGATTCTTATGAATTTCTTATAAAGTGCTGAAAGGGCTTCCTTTTGTTCAACACGTCTCGACCATGAACGACTGTTAGCTTCTTTCTGCTGGTTTAACTAAACTATGAAATGTACTTGAGTCTGTTTATGTTATGCTATTCAAACTGTTATGTTCTGTGTTTTTGGGACTAGAGCAGATAGAGCTTCTCACCACACAGTGTGGGTTTCAGAGCACGGGTAACGGAAAAGAGAAACTGATCTGTCAGCCGAATGTAATTGGACGTGCAATTTAAGAGAAGAAGCTTTTTTCCCCAAATATTTAGTGATTAAAACCACAAAAAATAAAGTAATAGTTTTTATTCGCTGATTGGTTTATCATAAAATAATAATGTGTGAAGTTTCCTGTAGGTGACAATCACCCTCATGACCTCACTGTGTCTCCTCCATCAGTCATGTCTTCCTCCAGCAGTCTCCTGTCTGAAGATCAGCTCCAGTGCTCTATCTGTCTAGATGTGTTCACTGATCCAGTCTCCACTCCATGTGGACACAACTTCTGCAGGGTCTGTCTTAAAGAGTGCTGGGACAGCAGTTCACGCTGCCAGTGTCCAGTTTGTAAGATAGAATTCCCTACAAGACCTGAACTCTCTGTGAACACACTCATCTCTGGACTGGCTGCTCAGTTCAAGAAGTCAGTTCAGGTGAAATCCAGCAGAGCTCCAGAGAAACGTCCCTTGAAACGTAAGATGGTTCTGTGTGACTACTGCAGTGAGGAGAAGCTGGAGGCTGTAAAGTCCTGTCTGGACTGTGGAGTATCTTACTGTGAGACTCATCTGAGGCCTCATAAAACTAAAATAAAACACAAGAAACACAAACTGATGGACGCTGTGGAGAACCTGGAGGACTACATCTGCCAGAAACATGAGAGACCCCTGGAGCTGTTCTGTAGAGACGACCAGACGAGTGTGTGTCAGTTCTGCACTGAGACAGACCACAAGACTCACAGCACTGTTCCTATAGAGGAGGAGATTAGAGACAATAGGGTGAGGAATATTCAGACTAACTTACTAACTCCATCTCATTTTTCTGTAATAAAAAAATCTTCAAGTTAATGATTGTCTGTCTCATAAACTGTCACAGACTCAGCTGGTGAAGACACAGGCAGAAGTTCAGCAGATGGTCCAGGACCGACTGAAGAAGATTGAGGAAATCAAACACTCTGTAAAACGCAGTAAAGTGAGTGTAAACAGTGACCTGCACTGTAGTCACTACTTTCATTCCAATATATACACTTTCTACATTTCTACTTAAGATTAAGTGACCCATATTAGTCCCAAAATGGGGAAATTTCAGCTTCACATTTAACCCATCCGGGCACCTCAGTCATGACTGCCCTTAATGACTAAAACACAAAAATTATGTCATTTAATCATCTCCTGTTAGAAAAGCTCAGAGAAGGAGAAAGCAGACAGTGTGGAGGTCTTCAGAGCTCTGCTGCGCTGCATTGAGAGAAGCCAGGCGGAGCTGCTTGAGGTGATGGAGGAGAAGCAGAAAGCAGCAGAGAGGCAGGCTGAAGAGTTCATTAAAGAGCTGGAGCAGGAAATCACTGAGCTAAAGAGGAGAGACACTGAGCTGGAGCAGCTCTCCCACACTGAGGACCACCTCCACCTCCTACAGGTCAGAGTCCCTCTGTTTCTCAATAGTAATGCAGTCCATCACAGGACAGCACTCCCCATGCTGAGGGGTTTCTCCTCTCTCCTGCTGGACTGTAGGTTTACCCGTCCCTCTGCAGCCGTCCACACACCAAGAACTGGTCAGGATTAACACTCATCTGAGGGTGGAGACTCTGAGGAGAGCTCTGTCTCAGCTTCAGGAAGAGCTCAGTAAGGAGATGGAGAAGGTTGTGGAGATTGGTGAGTATCTATTGATCAGACAGATCTTGTGAGGAAAATATTATTTCACAAAGTTCTCAAAATCCTGATGACAGAATCCGTATTTGGTAAATTGGTGTATTTAAAACTGTAATTTTGCTTTATTCTCTATTACAAACTATTTTTGTCATTATATTGTCCTTTAATATAATTAAGAAGTAATTTATTTTATTTCAGGCATTAAAACAAACAAAATGTGAAGTTATTGTAATTATTATTATAATTATATTGTCTGTTGTTTTTTCTCCAAACAGAACTAAAAGCAGTTCAACAATATGCAGGTTTGTGGATATGAAGTACATACATAAATATATGTGTCTTTGTTATTTTATGCTATATACTGATAAAATTAGTTATTTTTCTCTCTCAGTTGATGTGACTCTGGATCCTGATACAGCTTATCCCTATCTCATTCTGTCTGATGATGGGAAACAGGTGCACATGTGGAGACAAACGACAGAAGCTCCCTAAAAACCCAGAGAGGTTTGATGAAGGTGAATGTGTGCTCGGAAAAGAGGGGTTCTCCTCAGGGAGATTTTACTATGAGGTTCAGGTCAGCGGGAAGACTGAGTGGAATTTAGGAGTGGCCAGAGAGTCCAGTAAGAGAAAGGGTTATATAACACTAAGTCCTGAGGATGGATACTGGTCTGTGTGGCTGAAAAATGAGACTGAATATGAGGCTCTGGACTCTCCTTCTGTCCCCCTCTCCTCGAAACAGGCTCCCCAGAAGGTGGGGGTGTTTGTGGATTATGAGGAGGGTCTGGTCTCCTTCTATGATGTTGAGGCCAGGTCTCATATCTACTCTTTCACTGGTCAGTCTTTCACTGAGAAACTCTATCCATATTTCAGTCCCTGTGATAATGATGAAGGTGAAAACTCAGCACCGCTGATCATCACACCTGTT